TGTCTGATAACTCATTGTCCAAATGCGAAAAACGCATTTATAAGTAATGTATGTCTAGATCATTTAAGCCATTATGCTAATTCCTTTTTCTCACACAATAAAAACTCTTTGTTAGCAAACCCTTTGTTAACAAAACCCTTTATTAGCAATGTTTCACATCAGTTAAATGCCCTCTGCCAAATATCTGGTCAGTTCAGTTTCTGTATATAAACCAACCATCCTCCATTACAGTTATTCGTTCTACATTTTGGAGTGGTTTTTGATATCATTTTAATGTTTTATAATTATATTATATCTTTCGTTACTCGTTGTTATAATGTTGATTTGTTGGTTTAATTACCCAAGTTTAAGGCAAAATAAAATATCTGGAAGTCAATACATTCCACGACACATCCCGCTGTCACTGGACTCATTATTGTATAAATGAGAACTCAATTTGTAACTTGAACCTTTTCGAGTGAAATAAATTTAAAGAAGTAGTCAATACCAACAATTTAATCGGTTGTTTCCAACTTCTATTTTCTTCTCTAAGTGGACACTGTTTCAAAATGTCTGAGTTGTCATGTTTTATTGATATTATCCTTACTTTACCTGCTAAATAATCGACCACGGTAATTGATATAATGTCGAAATTTAAGGTTCGAGATTTAGGAAAATATTACAAGTCATACTTTGACGCGGAATGAGATTTGAGGATTTTTTCACTGAACCTTGCAAACTTCACATTCTCATAATAAATTATTTGTAAGTTTAATCGTCTTTGATATACAAGTTGCTTGTGTACACTGTCAAATAAAACTACAACCTTATTTGGGGTATCAGGCATATTTAAGTTAGTAATTTCAACTTTACAAAGAAAAAACACTTCCTTGTTATTTGGTATCCGTTGTTGTAATATTGGACTGATCACTTTTATCGAATTTATCTTCTTGACTGTTATATCTGTCTTGACGTAGTGCCGTGTTATGAATACTCTTGCAACAGAAACATATTCGCTTTATTTCTTTACAGTTGGTTGCTGCATGTCCCAGTTTCGATTGCTGAGCTCCTTTAGTCGTTGTATTCTTTGTTTGAAGATTGGTAGATTAGACATTCGTTGTCTGAATGATCCTAGTTGCAGGGAGGTACAAGATCTTTTAGTTTTACCAGTTTCTTTTACATTCTACCTTGATTTGTAATTGCGTGTCAGAGATAAATCTGTTATCGTTAAAGCTTTTTTTTTTTTTTTTTTTGGAGAAAATCGTGGATTAATTTTAATTTTAGTTGCCTTCGTATTATCGAAAGTTTGGCTTCGTTTAATTTCTCCACTTCTTTGAATCAACTTCGCTAAGAATTGTTTAACGACTGGACCCTTCTTTTGTTGTTATATTTTATCCAGGATCAAAACTGGCAGTTTAGTTTCAATAATAATCTTGATACTTCTTTGTTCAAGATTTTCGCTCACTGCTTCAAACTGTCGGGGTAATCTTTCGATAGCTTCAATCGTTGCTTTCCATTCTCTGCAGTTCGTTGTAGAGCGATTTCTTGATAATGTATGACTGTCCGGATTTCTCATTAAGGACCTTTCTTATAATTTTATAATTCTCAGGAGTTATGCCATAACCCTGATAGCCAGCATAACTTCACCTTTATAGCACCAAATAGTTCAACTTTTGGATATCTGGTATATTTTAAAGTGAACTGGGGCTTCAAAACTACTCTAAAACCCTCTCCTCAGTTTTCGGTTACCCTAAATACAGGTAGTGGTGTTTGAGATAAATTAACTGTTGGACTGAAGGTTTTTTGGATTAGTTCCTGTTTTATTTCACCTTGTTTTAAGCGTTGGAAGGTTAACTCTGAATCATTTTTGTACATAATTAGAGTTCTAACAATTTCTTTATCTTTATTTATTAGGTTTGAAATACCTTTTTAACCATCAACCATTTTGGCCTATTTCCCTTTTTCTTGTTTCTTTGATGGTGATAACTGTTGAGCATGTTCAATCCATTTTGCATTAGCAGTTTCGAGAGTGTGTTGATGTGCTTCTTCTTTGGATAGCATTTGACCCAATGACGTTAGATCCATTTCTTTGCCTTCTTCCATAAAACAATAATATTTTATTATACGCTTTCTTTTTATACCATACAGTTCTACATTATCAAGTTGAGAAACTAGTCTTCTTCCATTGTGCAAGAATATTTCTCCTTCAGTCAGTGCGAAATTTGATGTTAATTGGTATTTACTTCTAACCATCCATAGAAGTATTGTGTTTCAGTTCTTGTCTATCTTTTAGGAGAAGATTGAAATCAATGCGGTTCCATTCATTTGTTTTCTAACATTCAGATATTTGCATGTTGCGGTAGTAGCTACATGATCTGACACTATCGATAGTGATAATCTGAAAAAGACTTTGATACATATTGCTCGTGTAATGTTTTATAGCTATTCTTATGTGAGTGCGTGTGTGCACATGCAGCTTATGAAGTGTGGCATTCTTATTAACAACTTCACATTTTCATTTTTTAGGAATACAAAACGGTATACCGGAAATCCAGTAGCAGTTGTTCATAGCTATCATCTGTTTTAATATTAACGATATCACAGCTATTAATAATAAAGTCTTCATATTTTTCTTTTTATTGTGACAATTTGTTGGGTGTATTTGAACTGCTTATCATTGGTAGATTTAAGCACAGTGACGCATGATTGAATTCTTTGAAGTTTGTCTTCGAGTAATCTTTTCCTTGTTATATAGAAACCTTCCTTTTGTTCTAATATCATACTTGGTTCCGGTGATTTAAACTCCATTAAATTTATTTCTGTAAGAAGATTGACTAACCTTTCCTTTGCCAGTTGGATGCTTGCGATAATGTTGCTAGACATGGGTCCCGGCTCATGGTACAAAAAATGTCGTGAAAGGTTTGTCGTTGATCAGGAAATTACAAGAATTTGAAGGACTTAATTTGATTGTAGAATAAGTCGTTCAATTAATATAGGCTGCTGATTTTATCGTGGAATCAAGTAAATGGCGTAAATTATGCTAACTTTTATGATACAGCAGTGAGATTGTCGTATGTTTATTTTTATGAAACGTACAATACCAATAATCTGAGTTGTAGAAATAGAAATAAAAAAGGATAATTATTCTTTTCTGGAGTTATTTAGTTGGTAGTAATAATAGTAATAATGAATCCTTGTTTGTTAATGTTGTGTTTATATATGTGTTAAGAATTGGGTGTGTTTACAATAAGATCTTACGATGAATTTGAAATAAGACATTATTATTATTAGGTACCAGTTCTGAAATAAACAAAATTATGAGTTAGATAAAATGATAAGGAATCACATGAAAAATACTCTAAGGAATCAAATTTCTGACAAATAGATTTATGATGCCGCAAGATTGCTTACGATTTAAAAATGAATCACTAGTTTTCCTTTAAATTTATTTTATTACTCTGACTAGAGTTTAGCGAAATTAAAATTTGCGACACTTCTGTATCTGCTAACAACCTTCTTTCTTTTCTATGTATTACATTGTATTGTAATTATTTCTCATCTTTCACTTATCCTTAGGGAAAGAACGAGGTTGATCATAAGCTTATCGCTTTTCTTTACACATTATGCAATATTCACTCTAACTGTTTGCAGCGATGATTATAACACATATGCATGCGCACACAGACACAGGCACCCATGCAAGGAAGTACGTATATACAACCATATCCGCTCATTATTCATTGATACATTTCAATTCTCAGTTGGTTGCATGTAATTATTGTGGGGTAAATTTTATGAGTGAAATATTTTCGACAATATGAAGAGTGCAATTTCATTTAATTGTTAATTTCTTATTTCATTTGATATTTGTTATTTTTATATTTAGCAAAAAGTATTTTACCGCAAATGATTACATATTGTTAACAACTATAATTATTTAGCACTTCAGAATTATCTTACTGAAACGATTAATATTAAAAGTAGTAGTATTGGTGATTAATAATAGTAGATCTGTGCTAAAGAAGTTCTGTTTATCTTTTACAAATATTTCACTTTTTTGTTTTTCTTTTAGTATTATATTTATCACAGTAAATTTTATAATCTGATTATTGATGTGTCTGAAATTTAACATGAATAGTGATGATAAAATTTTTACTTATGATTTATTTTTCGTATGCGTTAAAAGATTATTACCCAAAATATTACGGGTAGAGTCGATCACTGGTATCCATTAGATTATGTGTGGATCTGATGAGCTTGTAGATAGCTGTAAAGAATTGAACCGAGTCGACCATTGTTTAGTGAAGATCCATACTCCTTATATAGTTAGAAATTTTCTTAAAAATATTTTAATACTGAATGTAAGTTTAGTTATAAGACGGGATGAATTTACATATGAATTTACCAAATGCTTGTGACGTTTTGACTATTAAATATAAGCTGAAGAAATCTGCATATGAATGGGGTAAATGATTCATTATATTGTTGACCATAAATTTATTTTATTTTTGTTTTTGGAATGAAATATTTGATTGGAAAATATTCGAAATAAAACAGTCTTTGTAATGCAAATTTCTATATTAGGAACTTAGTTATTCCGTGATATTTCTACAGTGTAACGTAAATTATTTCGATATATTTCTGTATTCTAAAAATACTTCGGTTATTTCAAATTTATAGTATTTATTATGGTCTTTATCGTTTATCATATCTATAATAGTCAGGGTAGGTAGGAAATTTCTTGATGTCCACTTTTTCACCATATCAAGCTGATATGCTTTTATGGAAAGCAAATTATTCTAAAATCTACAATTTTACACATTTATGAAAATTATTGATATCAATCATCGTTAACAGATGTATGATAGTGAAAAGTGTTAGCGGATTTAAGCTTTTTGCGTTTTCTGTGTAGCAGATATAAAATCGGTTATTAAGACTTTCCTTTCTTTACATTTAATTGCATTATGTTAATAAGACTTTCAAATGTACATTACTATTAGAAAGTTTAGATTGTCAACAGTATGTATGGGACGAGTGAAATAAGCAGTACTCCAACATTTAACAGTGATGACTGGGAAGGTAAAGAAGATGAAGTAGACGATACGAAAGACTTGAAGTCAAGCCAGAATGGTGAGCTAGATAATCCAGCTGAAATGGTATCAACAAACAACAACAGCTTTGAAACTGCAACAGTTTATTCCCAACGGTGTGCAATTTTATATAAACCTAGGGCTTGTTTGAATTATTTTAATAAGTTCATAAATTCTCCTTTTTGATAATCCTTCGATAGAATCTTTTACAAAATAACGAATTGGAACGTTTGTATTTTGGAAAAATAAGGTGAAGTGATATTAAATGTCTTTAATTTGGACTTTTTTTGTATATTATCTGAAGATGTTTGTTTCAGCACCGCCTATTCCTCAACGAATTCCGACGCATCCGCTGATAATTCAGGGATCCTTTCATTAATTCAAAGAACGCAGGATACCGTGCATCCGAAGAAACAAGTGCAGGGTACTGTATCAAGCAGTCAGTTTTCGTTTGCGTTAAATTAGGAAAGAACTAAAAACCTTTATTTCATTAATTGCATGTAATGAATTTCGGGAATCGTACAATGCAGTGGTTCCCGTAACCAGCTGGAAAAGTAATCTTCAAGAATGTATCACACTTTACCACTTATAAATCTTTTTAATGAATAAATTAGCCTCAGTTTTGTCACCCTACTTTTGATAATTCTATTATGAGGGGTCGTCGAGTTATTTTTCACTGTTACTATTCAAGGATGTTATGAAAATGTGCTGAATCATTCAGTTTAACATATTCGTCAATTAAATTGAAAGTATTTTAGACCACATTGTTCGTAGTAGTTGGTATTACAATAAGTTAGTTAAGTTAATTATCTTCCATGTAAGATAGTTTATTCGTAATATTTGAACTGCTATAAATTGATAAGTTGATTATGTTGCAGTGGTTGTAATGGATTTGTGTATGAAACGTGAGCAGAAACTTCGCCTGGAAGGTAATATCATAGAAGCGAATGCATTGAGTACCGTTGGTTTCTCGATTATGAACCTGATTGCGAAAGTGATGGAATTGCTGCAGTTAAATGGTTTCTTTTCATTCCTATTACTACAGAATGAAAGTTCAATGATTGTGATTGGAAAAATGAGGTTTTTGGTTGGTTAGGATTGTGCTACTGGAGTTTGAAATTACGCAGATGTTCTTTGTTTAGAATGCATACATGTTGGGAGTTTGATATTAGAAGCAGTAAAAGCATCAATGAGTAAAGGATCGAATGAATGGGAAAGTTTGATATTATGTGCGGGAAGTATTCATGCACTCATCGATGAAGTACGGATAAAAAGCGCAGGTTTGGATGATGTGGGACAACTGAAAATGATAAGTGAGGCAGAAAAAAATTGGATAAAAAAGAGCTTGCAGCGAAGGTTTATTTATCAAGTTTATCTACTTTTGCTTTCCAATTAGTATAGCGAAAACAATTTATTAAATCTTACACTTTCATTCGTTTTATTTTCGGGAAAAATTTCGAAGAAGACAAAGTTCTCTTGTAATACTTTGTAAACATATCTTGTTAGAACTTTGTGGCAATGTCCTCTGAATAGGCTTTCTGTTAAAACGTCTCTGAGCTATCGTGCTACAGTAAGATACTAGTAGAAGGGCGATAGTTGGTTAGTGTATGTCGTAAAAAACGAATGTTTAAATTACATTCAAATTCTAATACCTTTGTCAGATGTCTGATAAGTCATTCACCAAATAATTTCGCATTTATAAGTAATCTATGTCTAGATCATTTAAGCCATTATGCTAATTCCTTTTTCTCACACAATAAAAAACTCTTTGTTAGCAAACCCTTTGTTAACAAAACCCTTTATTAGCAATGTTTCACATCAGTTAAATGCCCTCTGCCAAATATCTGGTCAGTTCAGTTTCTGTATATAAACCAACCATCCTCCATTACAGTTATTCGTTCTACATTTTGGAGTGGTTTTTGATATCATTTTAATGTTTTATAATTATATTATATCTTTCGTTACTCGTTGTTATAATGTTGATTTGTTGGTTTAATTACCCAAGTTTAAGGCAAAATAAAATATCTGGAAGTCAATACATTCCACGACAGTGTGGTTAGATGATAGCATAATGTCATTTTTCGATATCTCAGCTATATTTGCATTACTTTATAAAATAACTTTACATTACAAAAATTGTTAAGATTTGTTGTTGATTTTCTTGACAAATCTATGTATGATTTAGCTGGCGAAGGAAAGGAGAAAACGAAAACTGGATGCTGTGCTTATAAGAAAACAAGAAGAAGCCAACGAAATGCGCAAACGTCGTCACGCGATGCAACAAACTGAAGCACACTCTGTTTTCACTCCTTCAATAACTTATCAATACACAGAAACTTCCGATGTAATCATTAAAGGATTTTATTGTTTAAATTTGCCTGAAAATGGCCATAACTGTCTTTATTTTCTTCTGTGTGATATACATTTTCGCATAATATTAATTTAAACAAATGCAAGTATAACTTGTTTGAAATTGTTTTTTACTTTAATTAAATATTTTCAGCAAGCTAGTGATGCTATATTAATAATGGCTGCAAATAAATATAAACTTCGTAAGGAAGAACGACAAAAACAAATTGAAAGGAAATCTCAGGCCAATGATGAGTGCAGATCATCTCAGTCAAATGTTTTACATACGAATCTTCAAGTTATCAATGGTTTTCAAATATTGCAACAAAATTTAGTCATGACAGTTGATATTCCTTTTTAATCTATTACAAAGAATGTGGAAAACTAGTATGTGGTAGAACTTTTCAATCATAGCTCAATAGTAGCAGATTGTCACTAGTTTGGTCTTTTAATTTTCCGCTTTTTTTTTGTAATAGATTCGAAATTAATTAGCAGCTTTAAATTGAATACCTACGGAATTGGTATGTCTTTTAAATAATTTCAATGTGGCGGTGAAACATTTGGAAAATAAGCTTGAAGACATTCTAGAACAGTAATTGAATAGTCCAGATACTTATCAATCACGTTTTAACTAAAAACCAGGTCTTTGCTATAAATTGAATTAATATTTTAGTCATACCTAACTTGCCTGATGCTAGGAGCTTCACTGGTCCAATAAGTGCAGAAGCTTTAATGGAATGCGAAGAGTCTGATTTGAGCAATTCAATTACTTTACCATCATTTCCGGTTTGTTGTAAATATTTATTTGATGTCGTTATTTTTATTAAAAATTAAGGTTTTTCTTAAATCTGCAGTTGACTTTATTCTAGATAAGACGCAACAAATCACAGTGGCTTAAGTGACACTGAACTGTTATTTAGCTTTATTTCTTTCCCTTGGACTTCATAAGTTCCGGTACGGAAAATTTTTTTTTGTTTTCATGCTGACTGATGAACATTCAGTCAAGAAATTTGGTTTAAAATGCCATGTCAATGAAGTGAAGAATTTTGAATCATACATTACTAAATATGAACATCGTTAAAGGTGCAAGAAGCTGGTAATCAACACTGTATACAACAACCACATTCGTTTGTATTATCGGCAAAAGGAGAGCCTAGGAACCGTCATATATCAAGTCATATTCGAAATAATGTTAGCGATTCTTTTAATTAATGTGCCTTATAACTGCTTATTCATAATTTATTCTGAAATTCTTTGTCAACTCTTTATCGCTAACCGTATTTATTGTCGTTTAATTCTAAAATTTCTTTAAGAATCATATTTCATCTCAACTTCGTTTGTTTCGATCTGGTAGCTGTTTTTATAGCAATTTTCAAAGGCTGTCGGTTACTTATTCATCGAATAATCGAAGTTTTTTGCACAAATATCTCTTAATTGATGTAAATCTCAGGAGTAGCTTTGATTAATTATTAAAATTTTGCTTAACTTATTATAAAGTTTATTATTATTAATTACTAAGGTTTTGCTTATATTATTAGTTAACTTATTATAAAGTTTTTTTCATGGACTGAGGTCTTTTACTTCAAAATTGTAATTCCTTTTTTTTTTTTTTTTTTTTTTTACACCTAGGGGATGAACTAGAATCTTGCTAATTCAGGAGATATATTATTCTTTTGGTCTTGAAGAAAGCATTTTTTTAGTTTTCTGTAATTGGAAAAACTAACCGTCTGAATTCCACCAATAAAATTCCAAATCAGTCAATGACATCTCCATACTCGTCAACTGCTGTCAATATCTCAAGCCCAGCTGGAATATCTCAGCTAAATATCAATTCAGCAAGTACTACGAATCCAATTAAAACAAAGTAGGTCCAATCAGCAACTATGTCAGAATCTTCCTAGTCATGCTTCATGGATAATGCTTGATTTTTTTTTCATTATTTTCAGATTTTGCTGTTATTTTTTCCAAAAAAAATGTTTTTTCTTGTAGTACAATGCATGAAATTTTAGGATTGTAACTCAGTCTGCTCAAAAATATGATAATGTGAGTTTTGTGAAAATTCGGAAAGTTGGTGCAAAGACAAATGAAAATACCAACAAAAAATTGCAATCAGTGAAAAAGTTTGTTCACTCTACAGTTTAGCTTTTCTTGTTCATGTGTATTAGAAAATTAAAAATTCAATTAAAAAAATTTAATCTCTTTCTCACTTGAGCTATTCCTGTTTTGTATGATATGAATACTGAATGTATTAGGGTATATCTGATTAATACATAAGACGATTTGTTTTAGAAGTGTATTTTTTGTTGGCGAGGATAAATATTCTATAATTCAAGTATCGAATAATCCAAATTCAACAACGGTACGTTTCTCCATGTTATGACCACTAGTGTTGTATTTTTAGAAATTACTTTTCTTAAATCCATTTCAGGATGGTATGAATATTATCGGATTTCATGACTATCGCAAGAAGTATCCACGGGGATCAGCAATTATGCCAGATGTAAATGACTGAAGTATTTTTTCCTCGAAAAGCTTATGCTAAATACTTTAGATACATGCAAATTCTTCCATGCTTTATGTAGGAAACATTAATAAGAAATACCGTTTCTTTAACTTTAGGTTTCTTAAATGAAGGTAGGAGAATAACAATAAGATTCTAACACTTGTATTTAGGAAATCTGACTGATAATGGTCACTTTACCCTTTCGTTTTATTTTGATTCCCTTCTGTTTTTCATCATTATTCTCTTTAACGTATAGAAAAAAAGAAAAAAAAAGTGCATCATTAATAAATTAGAATATTGGTCATGTACATTGTACAAGGATTATTCAGAACATCTTTGGTGGATAATACTTTAATCATTCTAAGTATTATGCAACACCGAAACAAGGGTAAGATTCGTAAAGCGTTAGAGCAATGTTCTCATTGTTCTTTTATTGGGTTTACTAGAAGCAGTATTCTTTAACAATCTTGAAATTGAGTCGGGAAGCAGACATTTTTTGACCAATTTCAAGATTTTAGTGGAATAAGCCAATAATTTTTCGCTCTGTATTTCTTACTGCATATATTTCAGGAAGAGAAAAGAAAGAGAGTGGAAAACCTACCTCCTCGTGAATACGATTTTTTCGTAAGTTTGTTGTTGATTGGATGATAAAATAAAGATATGTTAAGGAAAGATACGAAAAGAATAAATGGTTATATTTAGACTTCAAATATTCATGCAGTACCGGTATTTTCTGATCGTTTTTCTTTTTTGTAATCTTCGGGATGTTCTTTTCTTTATCATTAATACAGAAAAAAGAAAAAAAAGCTTTTAACGTTTGGAAAGCTAATTAGAATATAGTACAATGGGAAATTTCCAAAATTATATTGTTTTTTTGCTGATAAGTGATGAGTGATAAGAAGAGCAATGCATTTTGAAAGAGTGCTTCATGAAATATTATTTCTCTTTAGCGTTTCTTTTACAGCTTAAATCGACTACATCACAATCAATTGATATCGTTAATGCACGTTCTTTCTGTGAAAGCTGCGAATTTACACGTGGTAATATACGTAACTGGTTAGTTTCTCTTCTTTTATGATGAAAAATGTATTTTTCGTATAATACTTTAAATCACTTTTTTCTCTTTTTCTATTCAGGTTTATTGTTGGTTCAAGGTTTGAACGTTTGAATGGGAGTGTTTTTGGTGTGAAAAAAAGTGGTTGTCCGAAAACCCATCTATCTCGTGCCAATTATCCTCCAATACATTTCAGGTTATTTTTTGTTACCTTATAGAATTGGCAAATACTTCGATAGTTTTTTGTTTTATTATTGTAATATATTGTGCTGTCGCAAAGTATTGGTTGATAATTATTATTGATTAAAGCTGATCAATTTAGAATTTTGTCTGACGCTATGACACGTATTTCCATCGACGTTGCTGGACTGAAAATTTTCTTGGCTGTTGGTGAGGATTGGATTGTAAAAAAGTCAATAATGCCCGAGGAGTTTACATCATTTATAAGAAAATTTGCCGTAAGGCTATTCTTCTTGTTCTGTTTTTATCTATTTCATATATAAAGTTTGTTTCTTAAATTAACCCAACGTGTAAGGATTTGTTTAAATAATTTTCTCTTAAATAAATTTAGTTTATTTCCAGTATTTCACTTAGCTTAGATCGGAAATGATATAGAACTCTGTATACGTTGTTTTCAGTGTCTTGGAACCTTTGAAACATTCGACGTTTAATCCATTTTCTTCTATTGAAACTTATCAAAACTTATTCCCATGTTTTCAGAATGTTTTACACGGGCTATATGTTAAGCAGTACACACTAGAGCGTACAAAAGAAGTGGAATTCACGGATGACTTAGAAAAAATCAAAAGTGATTATGCCTTTGTCGAAATGCCAACTATTATATTATTCACAATTCCTGCAGCAAGTTTTCCATCTTTTCTTGCTTTTTCATAACTTACAATCTAAAATATGCGAGACGGGAAAAAATAAATTGAAATAAATTAAAAGATCTTTTCTGTTGTTGATAGTATCTTATATCAAAAAAAGTTTCCAATAAAGTAATTTAAATAAAATATTAATAAGAATCTTTGGTGGATGATACCCATATTTAAATTTTAGAGAAGTGATTCTGATGCGGAAATGAAGTGTAGTTTTTACAACAGTGCAATTACAGAATTGGTTCAAAGTTGGGATGCAACTTGGAAAAAGTATTTTTTTAAAACCTTTACTTTTTGTCAGGTTTAACCAAAATAAATTCATAAAAAGTTATAATCTATATGATACATGCAGTATTCTTTTTCGAAAAATCGGAAAATGAAAAAAAAAAAGACTTGTTCATTTTAGTTTCTACTGTCATAATGCTACAAATCAATGCATAGAATTGAAATTAATTGATTGGCGACAACTATGTATTAATGAAAATGCAAACAGTAACAGCAGCATGATTACTGTTTTAATGAAGCATTTAATGGAAGAATGGGGTATATGTATGACACCCAGCAATCGTTCCTAATTTCTAACACCGTTCAGATTCTCTACTTTTCATTACGATCTCTTTCGAATGTATTAAACTCAATGATCTCATATTTTCAACAGTAATCTCCCTGGAAATCTTTTCAGTCTTTCTTTTCAAAGAAATGCAAGTAATAATAGCAGCATGATTATTTCAATAAAATGAACCATTCAATAAAAAAATAGGGTGTATATACGATAAATTTCTTATTGAATACGGTTAATCTCTTGTCGATCATAAATCAATAAATGCTTAATTGATTTATGATCGATGAAAGTGAAAAACTGTTTTTAATATGTTGAATGTTTCAATTGATTTTCATTTCATTTTGATTACCTATGGTTACATTTAAAATACTACAGGGTATTTAATTAAATAATTTGTTTTTCATGTTTGACTACCGCCTGATTTGCATTTAAAAATCAATAGAAATTTGATTAAGTGATTTCGCATTTCTTTGAAAAATTGATTCTACAGCTGTTTCATTTGTCACGCCGTTTTGTAACGCACTAGGTAATGGATAAATAGGTCTTATGTGATGTTCTATTAAATCACTGACGGTTAATTATATAAGTTATGGATACAAAGCGGGCAGATCTGAACAGAAATGGTCATGAGATAGTTTTGGAGCTTCCACAACGAAAAACGGCGAAAAAGTATTTTTAATGCATCATTCGGTCAGCTAAGTTTGCTCATCCGTATGTTGAAATGAATTATTTCTTTGTCTTTTTTTCTTATAATCTCATTATCATGAGGTTACAAGAAAAATTTCATTATCATGAAATATTTTCTAGTGAATATTCAATGTAGATGCAAACTACATAAATTATCAAATTCCATTCAGCTTGACAATTATATAGTTTATTATTAAATTCAACACTTAATTGGGTCTGATTAAGATTTAAAAAATCTATTTCTTAAATCGATTAAATAATCTCGGTTAAGATTTCTGTTTCTCTTTGCTTCTGCTTACTTTAAGAGAAACGAAAGATGAACTTTTAAAATTTATATGGGACTGTTTTGAAAAGAGAGAAATCCTCTGAGTATGAAGCATTGGCGGAAAGAAGAAATATGCAATCAAAACGGATGTTTTGTTTATTTTTCTCTTCTATCATTAAATTGTGCACAATTATGCACTTGATTGTTGTTTTTTTTGAACAATTGATTAGCAGTTGAAATTATTCTCATGATTAAGTTGGCTGCAATGTTTGTTTACATTGTTTAATAATGTGTGCTGGAATATTCGGTAAGTGTCCTTGTGATTTCCGTTTTGAATCGAGAATAGTTTACAACAGTTTTTTGGCTCATTTTTAATATTTGTAAAATATTATTCAATTCTTAATTAACTTGAATATGTAAGTTATCAGTGTTTTCATACTACAGTGAAATATTTCGATAAAGATTTGAATTTCTGATCATAATGTATGAATAATTTTTTTTTTGCCATAATAGAAACTAAGTTTAAAATAACTTCTTCTTTTCCATCAGGTAATGGAGTTTTTTATAGTTCCGAAGTGCTTTTTTTGTTTTTGTTTTGTTTCAGTTCAAATATCAAATATGAATAAATCTTTCTTATTGTTTAATATACAACTGAAATTATGATCAAGTGTTTGAATTACTGGGAGATGTACGTCTGATCAGTCGATGAGCTTGACGGGAATGGACGAGCCAGTGAAGTATCGTACACGCAATGCAAGAAATATTGAAAGGAGAAGAAATTTTCAAGTATGTTCACGATTGTATGCAGTATGAAGAGTTGCATTCACTTATTTGAATATCAAGCGAAAACATGTTAATAATGTTTAAATTTCTCCCTGATTCAAATGAGTTGTTTCATGTTTATGTTGAGAAAGTACGGTTCCAATAGGTCTGTTCAAATGCAAGTGCAAATATATAGCTGTTGGGGTGCTTTCCCTTTTTTTGAAGCTACCAAACAGTTGTAATTTTTGGAAAATTTTATTCCAAAACACCCGTAGCCCAATAAACCGTCATAATGCTCGACAGAAAAATAAAAATGACACTATTGATTTTGGAAACTTTTTAAAACTAAAAAATAAAAGATCAGGTGTGAAGTTAATCGAAGAGAAGAATGGTAGCCGAGATGACTATTTCGCAGTGGCTAGTAAGCATATGTCAGAAGTCATATAAAAAGTAGATTTTATTTAATTGGGATTTGAGAATTAATTGGAAGAGAATATTAAAATTTGACAAACTTTCCTATTTCTACAGGAAATTAAAGATTTGGATAATCGAATAATTTCTTTTGCTCTATTGAAACCACTGCAATGGATAGACTAATATTGTTATTACATCAATTTTAGCAAAATTTGATTACTAAGAAATCTAAACTATTCAATGTTTTACAAAATTTAAATTTTCTAATCTATTTTCCAACTTAGCAGAAAAGAAAATCCCAAATGCCATGCTTTAAGTTAACCAAATTTTAAATTAAAAAATAATATATCCAACAACTGGATGAAATAATACAATGTAGTAAAATTTAAAGTATTATTTTCTCTGACTCTACAAATTTTAATGTGTCTTTATTAACAGATACATATAAAAAGAATGTATATAAAGGAAGGTAAACGAGGAGAAAGAAGTAAAATTAAAGGTCATTCAGCAAATAGAATCACTTGTCAAAGGGATGATCAATTGAATGTGTATACATTACATATATATATATATCTTTTCAAAATGTGCACCAAAGCATGACTAATGCTAACAAAAATAAGTGAAACTAAGGAAATAACTGCTATGTGTAAAAAATTCAAGCAGAACAATTAAGTCATTTATATTAAATTACCAATAAAAAGAAAACCGTTTACATAAGAAAGAAACTGATTATTAAAATATATGACATAATAATTGAAACAGTGACCTAAGCAGTGGAATTGAGTTATAAGGGCGAAGTAAAAAATTAAAAACAAAAATCTGGAGACTATCAATAGTGATTTAGTTAGATAACAAGGAAATAGAAAAGCTGTCTGTCACCTTATATTATGGGAATTGATTTGTAACATTAGGCCAGTTAACACAGTACATTTGGTTTAGGACAAAGAAGGTTAGTGAACAAACAGTTGACAACTTTCTAACAATCGAATCTATGTTTGGCTGTAAGATCGGAAGATCTTATGGGAACAATTTTCGACACATTAAGGAGCATACATATTCTTTGACGTAAATGAACTCAGCTATTTATACTTGGCATTTAAAACTGAAATAGTTTTTATACATGTCTAAGGAATATTCAAATAAGATTAGACCTATAGATTTAACAGTTAGCTTTACTAAATTTGCACATTTAATAATAGTATGTGGCTTTATCAAAAAAGTTTGTTTCATCTATTTTTTTTTTAAGAAAATAATAAAGATTTATCGAAAAAAAAAAATCAGAAACATCTATTTAATACAAACAGTAGTTAAATTGAAATATTTTTGATAACATTAAAAGCAGTCTTAGTTTTACAAATAATTGGTTATATTCAATTGTCTACACATGCACTATACTATTAGGATCACAATAAAACTGATGAAATTATCAAAAAGTACATGCGACTATTACTTTAATCAGATTCGTAAAACTTTGACTATTTTTAATGTTACTAACATTTTCAAACCAGAGACTATCAAATTCAATAGAGGAACAATAAATTTAAGATTAGACGAATTTTAATGCAAAATTGGGACTATTGGCTTACAACCAAGAAGTATTAATCCAGTATTTCACCAAAAAGAGGTGAAATACAGTGGCGACTAATCAACGGAAAAAGAAAAAAAAAGTTAGTAGAACAAGCAGAGACACAAAATCTACTAATTTTATTTGTATTTGCTTTTATTTTGTAATAATATGCCTGGAGAGTCATTGTAGATAGGACCGAATTTTTTCTGTAATATATCGAAAAACATTAGTAAAAGAAATTGAATTTTGATTGAACTATTTTTGATTAGCTTTTATTTTTCATAATATTAAATAAGAGATTGGCTTCTTGCAATATCATTTCTTTAAATCAGTTTTGCCAAGAATTGTCTTGATTTAAAGACTTACAATACTTCTTGTTCCTCTCTTTTCTGGGCAGTTCATTTTCAATGATAATTTCATTGCTTAAGATTTAAAAGCTTCAGTATTGGGCTTTTTTTATTACGAAGAAATACAAAGATTTATTATAGCAGAAAGTCAACAAAGAGGACTAGTAAAAAAGTATTTATTTTTTTGTGGAACTAGCATATGTTTTTTGGATAATGGTCGTTGGTTGTGTTTATGTAAAATGCGAGTGGTTTACAATATTTTTATTCACCCCATCGAATGCAGAAATAGCTATGTGAACAAAAATTATGCTAAGATTGACATCTAATATATAAACTCTCGGTATGGACAACGATGGGAATTTAATTAAATTTAAGATAAATAAAGAAAGAAGATGAGAAAATGACTAAATGAGAAATGAGAAATTAGTTAAATGATTTATTTATCTTGATTTGACCCCTTTATGGGTACATGTAATAAAGTTTGAACGATTTTTATACGAAATTATTTTATTATTGTAGTTGATTTCGAGATTTGCGACAATCGAAATTCGTGATACATTGATTCATAATTTGAATTCATTTTTGGTTTGACAATGTCACCTTGCCAGTTAATGAAGCTAACTGTTTTGTGCAATATTCGTATGGTTGTTTTGATAAAATGTCCATTTCATTCATTGAATCAAAAAGTGTTAAAATTCTTGCAATAATCGTGTTTATCAGTTTTTGTTACTCACTTCATTATTTAAAGACAGTTTTTGACACTAAAATAGTGCAATTATGGATTTACGAAATAACGAAATAACTATTAAAGCTTTGTACAGCAAATCTGAATTTCAATTAAACTGCTGAGAATCAAAGTTACAACTTAAATAATACGAGTAAGATATTTCATTTTTAAAGTATTTTATTTTGACGGTTGAACTAGCGCTGCTAAATTTGCTTTTTAATTGGAAAGGCAATGTGATGAGATT